AATAAGTCAAAATAAATGCAATAATGTATTTATCGATCTGTCAGAAGACCTGTCAGATTTGACGAAAGTGTATTCAGTTTTGTGTTGGGTTTTTAAATGCAGAAAAGTTGGATACAATATGTATTTATGGGGAAACAAGAAGGAATTCAAAAGAAGCAGTGAAAATATACACTAATCGGTATGGTGACAGAAAATTACCGTCAGACAAAACATTCGCTGGCTTAGCCAAATCTTTGGCACGAAACGGATGTTTTAATGAACGGAAGCGAAAAAAAAAACAAAATCGGCTACTGATGAGAATTACAGTGTTGCAGTGCTAGGTCAAATGTTATTGGAACCACATAGTTTCACCAGACAAGTAGCAATGAATTGGGACATTTAAAACTCGTCAATACAACGTATTTTGTCAAAAAACAAATTCCATCCATACAAAATACATTTGGTTCAAGGACCACATCCAGGTAATAATCTTCATGTTTCATTTTTAGTAAGTGAAATATATTCCCATATTCAGGAGATGCTGATAGGAGATTAAACTTCATTGCATGGTTGTCTACCAGTATTCATGATGTATTCGATACATGACAGTATTCGCTACGCTCTTTTCGCAAACTTTTTCACTCACAAAACAAAAACTTACCTTTAACACTCATATCATAAATAGTTATTATTGATTATTTTGTGTATGTACATATATTATAGCTATCATAAGCCAATTGTTACTTTTGTAGAAGTGAATAACGATACTAATAATGAACATACACAAAATTATTACCATCATTTTATATGTTATAGGACTTTTATACCACCATCCCAAAGTCAATATATCTTATTTATCCTTCTGACAAACACAAACCGAAAGGGTCAGGACGTCAGGCTCTAACCTGTCTAAACTGAAGACGTCAATCTTACACATATATAACTTGGAAATGCACGTGAAATCTCCTACACGTGTCCATCATAGATTATTTTTGTGCAAATTCCGAGCTAGTTTCTTGTGATGTGCTTTCTTTTGAATTATCAGATCACGAAGTAGTTCATTCCAAGGTGTATATCAATGTTGATGTGAAAAAATCTAAATTTGAGTTAGGACGATTGTATGGTTCTGCTAATTACAACTTCTACACTTTTGTAGAAGTGAATAACGATACTAATAATGAACATACACAAAATTATTACCATCATTTTATATGTTATAGGACTTTTATACCACCATCCCAAAGTCAATATATCTTATTTATCCTTCTGACAAACACAAACCGAAAGGGTCAGGACGTCAGGCTCTAACCTGTCTAAACTGAAGACGTCAATCTTACACATATATAACTTGGAAATGCACGTGAAATCTCCTACACGTGTCCATCATAGATTATTTTTGTGCAAATTCCGAGCTAGTTTCTTGTGATGTGCTTTCTTTTGAATTATCAGATCACGAAGTAGTTCATTCCAAGGTGTATATCAATGTTGATGTGAAAAAATCTAAATTTGAGTTAGGACGATTGTATGGTTCTGCTAATTACAACTTCTACACTTTTGTAGAAGTGAATAACGATACTAATAATGAACATACACAAAATTATTACCATCATTTTATATGTTATAGGACTTTTATACCACCATCCCAAAGTCAATATATCTTATTTATCCTTCTGACAAACACAAACCGAAAGGGTCAGGACGTCAGGCTCTAACCTGTCTAAACTGAAGACGTCAATCTTACACATATATAACTTGGAAATGCACGTGAAATCTCCTACACGTGTCCATCATAGATTATTTTTGTGCAAATTCCGAGCTAGTTTCTTGTGATGTGCTTTCTTTTGAATTATCAGATCACGAAGTAGTTCATTCCAAGGTGTATATCAATGTTGATGTGAAAAAATCTAAATTTGAGTTAGGACGATTGTATGGTTCTGCTAATTACAACTTCTACACTTTTGTAGAAGTGAATAACGATACTAATAATGAACATACACAAAATTATTACCATCATTTTATATGTTATAGGACTTTTATACCACCATCCCAAAGTCAATATATCTTATTTATCCTTCTGACAAACACAAACCGAAAGGGTCAGGACGTCAGGCTCTAACCTGTCTAAACTGAAGACGTCAATCTTACACATATATAACTTGGAAATGCACGTGAAATCTCCTACACGTGTCCATCATAGATTATTTTTGTGCAAATTCCGAGCTAGTTTCTTGTGATGTGCTTTCTTTTGAATTATCAGATCACGAAGTAGTTCATTCCAAGGTGTATATCAATGTTGATGTGAAAAAATCTAAATTTGNAGAACTTTATACAAGTGTAGAAGGGTAAACTTTTTAGTTTACCCCGATAAGTTACTGCGTAAAAATCAAAGTATTTTTCACAAAGAAAAATCTTCTATTTATCAGTAACTTGTCGTATTTAACAATTTTGCATATCAAAAAAATCATTAAGAAATATTACTTATCTTTTACGTTTCGGAGGCCAAAATCTGCCTCCGTCTTCAGAAATGGATAAAAACTTCGTATATATTTGCAGTTATTCCTTTTTTGATGGTCAAAGAAGTAAAGAAATAAGCTATCAAAAAAGAAATAACTGCAATGATATTCGAATTTTTTATCCATTTCTGAAGACGGAGGCAGATTTTGGCATCCGAAACGTAAAAGATAAGTAATATTTCTTAATAATTTTTTTGATAGGCAAAATAGTTAAATACGACAAGTAACTGATAAATAGAAGATTTTTCTTTGTGAAAAATACTTTGATTTTTACGCAGTAACTTATCGGGGTAAACTAAAAAGTTTGCCCTTCTACACTTGTATAAAGTTCTCCATTATAATTTTTATATTTTCTTAGATTGTGGAGGGTAACAATTACCCAAAAAAGGTCGATATTATGAACAGAAGTGGCCCCAATACTGATCCTTGGGGAATACCATGTTTAACGAGTTTTAAATTCGAAATGCAATTATTGCTAGTGACTGCTTGATATCTATTCGATATATATATGATTTTATGAGGAATACAGATACTCCCCTGACGCCTTGGTAATATAGTTTTTCCAATAATATGTCATGAGAGACGCAGTCGAACGCCTTAGAGAGGTCGCAGAGCGTAATAGCTGTGTGGTTACCTTGCTCGAGATTGTCGACTACTTCACTCACCACATTGAGAACTGCCTCTGCTGTAGAGCGGTACTTACGAAAACCAAAGTGAGATTCGTTGAATAATTTATATTTTACAAAATATGCTTGAAGACGTTGTTTAATAATCTTCTCGATTATTTTGCTAAAAATGGATATTATTGAAATGGGACGATAATTGTTAACAAGAGAAATGTCTCCGTTTTTAAACAAAGGGATAACTTTTGATAGCTTAAATGCATCAGGAAAAATACCACTTGTGAATATTACATTTATCAATTTAGAAAGAGGCTGCAACAATATCTGGGAGGTCTCTCTAATGATATCACTAAATTGAAGAGACTAAGCATTTGGAATTTTTGAGTGGGTTAATTGTACTTTGAACGTCTTCTTCGGTCACTGGGCCCAGAAAAAAAGAGCTGCAAGGGGCTGGAAAATTTCTGAAATTCAGTAAACCTTCTTTGCGTACCGTTGGAAGAGATTGAATGATTAGAGGTTGATTAGAGCTTGATTAGAGGTTTCCATATGTTACGTATCTCTACGCTAGCTTAGCTAAATGAGTTGTTGGACAACATATACGCGGCTTCTTCGAATTTTCTCCTGAACCAGTGTTCCTCATTGTGGATGATTTCAGCTTGAGCCTACTTGATGTTATGTTGATGAGTCCAAACATGCTCTACAATTCCGGATTTGCTGGTTTCTCCTCGCTGTGTGTTTCTTGTGCTCAGCAATGCGAACTTTCAATGGCCTCTTAGTTTCACCGATGTAGGATTATCCGCACTCGCAGGGTATCCGGTAAATGCAATTCTTGGAATCGCAGTCCGCGTTTGGTGGCCTGGTTTTTGTGAGGCTGCTACATAGTGTTCCCAGATGTGAAAAAGGTCCTAATGTTATACTTGAACACAATCCTTCTTATCCTTACCGAATCCTCTGATGTAGGGAAGTAAAGTACTGGTTGTGGCGGCTTCTCTTCCTTGTGTTCACTTGCAGGGAACGATCTTTCAGGAAGCTGAAAAGACGTACCAAAAATGATCCGATAATCCATAGCGTCGAAGTTTGGCCAGCAAACCCTCAGCCACACACGGTCAAAGGCCTTAGAAATATCAACATCAACAGCTCTTGACTCTCCATGTTTCCCTTGAAGCCTTCCAAATATTTTGGGATATGGTGGTTTACGACTTTCTCCATGAGTTTTGATATCACTGACAGCAAAGCGACTGGTCTATTGTTTTTGGAAGATTTTTCTTGCGCTTTTTGGGAATAAGATGAACGTAAGCAATCTTCCAACAAAAAGTTACCCTTTAGTAAGACAGTTTGAAAAGTCTGCAAAATACTGGTGCGAGTTCATTTGCGCACTTCTTAAGTACGATGACTATCACCTATTAGAAAAATAAAAAATATCCTCCTAATTACGATTTTACATAAATGTATATTTCTTAGCTGAAATTAGTACTATCATTTTAAAATGACAAATCAAATTTGTAATGTGATTTATTCATAAAATATCATAAAAACAGAACGAAATAAAATATCAAGCGGCACATATTTTAATATTTGCTTCTTGTAAATTTCAACATTGAAATCGAAGTCGATAGTTTGATATTTCCAAGAAACAAATAATGAAAATATGTGGCCGCTCGGCACTTCAGTAGATTTCACACAATTTCAAGTTCAAATCAAAAACACTATGAAATTTTTAATACTTTTTAATTATCAAATATGTACTATTTGAGCCGTACGCCATTTAATGAGCTCTCAAAGTGACTTCTTTCATGAGTTAGCAAATATGTACTTCGACTGAAAGAACATGAACAGACTTTACATTAAAATAGTTTTTCTGCAGTATGAGTACTTTCATAATACCTCAAATTGCTACTTGTAGTGAAAGATGTTCACACTGAAATGGTTTTTCTCCAGTGTGTGTCCTCTCATGGATTCTCAAAATGTTACTTGTAGCGAAAGATGTTAAACAAACTCTACACTGAAATGGTTTTTCTCCAGTATGAGTCCTCTTATGAATTTTCAACTCGCTACTTCTAGCAAAATATTTTGAACAGACTTTACATTGAAACGGTTTTTCTCCAGTATGAGTCCTCTCATGGATTTTCAAATCGCTACTTGTAGTGAAAGATGTTGAACACACTTTACACTGAAATGGTTTCCTCCCAGTATGAGTCCTCTCATGACGTCTGAAACTGCCCCTTCCAGCAAAAGATGTAAAACAGACTTTACACTGAAATGGTTTTTCTCCAGTATGAGTCCTCTCATGAATTCTCAAATCGCCACTTCTAGTAAAATATTTCGAACAGACTTTACATTGAAATGGTTTCCCCCCAGTATGAGTCCTCTCATGACGTCTGAAATTGCCACTTCCAGCAAAAGATGTAAAACAGATTTTACACTGAAATGGTTTTTCTCCAGTATGAATCCTCTCATGAGTTCTCAAATCGCCACTTCTAGCAAAATATTTTGAACAGACTTTACAATGAAACGGTTTTTCTCCAGTGTGAGTCCTCTCATGGATTCTCAAATTGCTACTTACGGTGAAAGATGTTGAACACAATTTACACTGAAATGGTTTCTCTCCAGTATGAGTCCTCTCATGACGTCTGAAATTGCTTCTTCCAGCAAAAGATTTAGAACAGACATTACACTGAAATGGTTTTTCTCCAGTATGAGTCCTCTCATGAGTTTTCAACTCGCTACTTGTAGCAAAATATTTTGAACAGACTTTACATTGAAACTGTTTTTCTCCAGTGTGAGTTCTCTCATGACGTCTTAAATTGCTACTATTAGCAAAAGATGTTGAACAAACTTTACACTGAAATGGTTTTTCTCCAGTATGAGTCCTCTTATGACGTTTCAAATCGCTACTGCTAGCAAAATATTTTGAACAGAGTTTACACTGAAACGGTTTTTCTCCAGTATGAGTCCTCTCATGACGTCTCAAATTGCTACTATTAGCAAAAGATGTTGAACAAACTTTACACTGAAACAGTTTTTCTTCAGTATGAGTCCTCTCATGAGTTCTCAAATCGCTACTTTTGGTAAAAGATGTAGAACAGATTTTACACTGAAATGGTTCTTCTCCAGTATGAGTTCTCTCATGAGTTCTCAAATCACCTCTCCTGGTGAATTTTTTTCCACAGACTTCGTAGTGAAATAATTTCTCCCCTGTATGGACCTTTCCATGACTTCGCAATCCGCCATTTCTAGCGACAGACATATTCAGTAATCCGGAATCTGTGAAGAATTAATTTCATGAAATTTTACGTACCCTACTATGTATGTAGATAATGAACTCAGAGTAACAAAAGACAATAGACAGGCCTTTTATATCCTTACCACAGTATTTCTATTAGAGGTTTCCATATNATAATATTGTAGATTTGCCAAAATGATCATTTTCGAATAAAATACGTGGAATATTTCTAAGAACCAACGTCTCATCCAGTAATATTCCAGCAATCAGAATTTTATGGAATAAGAGACCACCTTTAACATTTTTTCACGAGTTGTAAAATAATGTACCACAGTAGGTTGGGTGAAACCCATGAAATTCGACAACTATGGAAGGTTTGCATGCCTGTCTTAAACTCGTCGTTTGCGCAGACCTAAGACATCGACGCGTGGGTCTGCGCGTAGGAAAATTCAAACCACAAATCAGCCTTTATGAAATTACTGTATACAAAATACTGTGTCCTTACCATGAAGGCAGCATAAATTTATTTACGGAAAGTAAGTTGGACCATAAAACAATGGCGGTTGGTTGAGTTGATAATCGGAGGGGCATTATATATTTATAAAATACATCATCTTAGGTGAAAATATATACTGTTCAAATAGTTCCTACAGGAAATCTGATTTATTATTATTGATTATGAAAATGGGGCAAGTTTTTCTACCACCAACTAGATTTTTATTTATGTATGGCTTTATAAAAAAGCGAGTGGTTTACTAGGTTAAAATTGAATTATTTCAAATGAACTAATTCATAACAATGAAAAATGTTAATTTCAACAGTAATGAACTTTGCTTCATAAAATCAAATGAAGAAATCTGTGATTTATTCTCAGATTTGATAAACAAGCGGTACGGTTTGTGAGGTCCGATATAAATAATTTTCGATTAGAAATCATGAATATTTATAATTACGATTGAGGTTTGATATTATAAAGTGATTTCATTCAAAATTGGTATCTAGGGGTCTTTGTGGACCGACATTATGAAAGGGTATATTTTTGATGTTTTAAATGATCATTTTTTTGATCTTATTCTTATAAATGAAGTTTTTGCAAGTCAGTTTATCTCATTATTTGACATATTCCAACCGAAAAAAAATTAGCAAAATGACAACCGTCATTTCTTATTGAATATTGTCTATATGCAACTTGAGAGTATCGTGCAAAGACAGAAAAACTAAAACGGAAATCATATTCTTTGTGTGACGTAAGTTAGTTGTTAAGTGAGCAATAACAGATTCAACACCGGTTGCACAAAAATAACTATTCAGTATACAAACTGAACATTGATCAGAAAGCTTTTTAATCTGTTGATCACAGAATGAATATGACATTGGCACACACTGGAAAAACATATTTTTCATTTTGGAATACAGTTTTTTTTATTTACATTAATGATTTTTCGTAATTATAGAATTCGTCAGCATGAATTATTGAAAAAAAACATAATGTAGGCCCACAAAAACCCCTGGATACCAATTTTGAATGAAATCACATAATAATATCGAACCGTACCGCTTGTTCATCAAATCTGAGAATAAATCACAAATGTCTTAATCTGATTATGTGAAGGAAAGTTCATTACTTTCGAAATTAACATTTATCATGGTTATGAATTAGTTCATTTGAAATAATTTAATTTTAACCCAGTAAACCACGCGCTCCCTCCGATTATCAACTAAACCAAACGCCACTGTTTTATGGTTCAACTTACTTCAAATGTGAACAAATTCTCCATAACCTCTCATTACGCGCCACCCCCCCACTCCAATAAGTTGTACAGAAAAGGATAGTTCAATACCCGTTTCAAAATGCATGTATTGTATTGGTATGGCAACTCTATGTTACTCTGAGGTGATGAATATCATAATTCAATGTCAAAAATGTCATTCAACCACTCCTGGAATATTGGGCGTTTCAAAGTGAATAAAAAATAATTACCTGAATCAGCATCGGGCGAACGTAGCTCCTCGTCCTCGGTCATATCCTCCCCTTGCATATTTTTGAGCTGAAGACAGCAACATTTAGGATCAGAACCAATGGGGCTGAAGAAATCTGTCGGACTGCAGAAACAGCCATCAGAACAATTTCTGCATACTCTCCGGATTTCCTCAACTTTAATTTCACCTTCGCCATAACATTTCTTCTCATTTACTCCAGAATTTGAATACATTTCCTCTGCCACAACTCTACGAGAAACAGCCAAACTTGAACGAATTGTTCTTAGGTAATTTGAAATACACTTGAAATATAATTCACTATGAGACACACAGTATTGAACTCTCACAAGAATCAATCAGAAATGGTCCTAATCAGAGTAGGTTCTCAATTTATATGATATTGAATTTTGGGACAGGTAGAGAAAATTGAAGTTGTACGGGAGAAATTTCTTGGAACTTCAGAGAAGTGACCTTTTACCTGTAAACATCTAATACCGCATAAGGACAGAGGTAGCTGAGCGTAGGCAATAATGAAGTCCTGTAATACTATAGACACCGTATAGAAGTAGACACAAGTAAGTTCACTCTCAGCCATATTTGGGTAAAGATTCCCCACCTCGAATTTTATGCTCAGTCAACCTACAGCGCAACCGACTGAATCTGATGGGTTTACCAAGCGAGCCAAGTTGAGGCATGGTATATTATTACAGAGCGAGTTGTTGTAAGTGGTGGTTTTGTATTTGTGGAAAATTCGTGTCTATAGTCCGTTCATAATTTGTTGATAGCTCACTGCAAGTTTGACCCTCATTAGAGAACTGAAATACAGAGATGACAAATTATGAACGGACTATAGTTTCAAAATGAACAAGTGTCGAGCAGTGGGTTGCTGTAATTTGCAGGCAAATGAAGAAATACATGTGAAGTGAGTTCGAATTATATTAAAGCGCCATCTGCCCCCGATTATTCTGTAAAATACAGATCCCGGGCATTCAAACGGGAAAGAAGAGTTACAAACAAACATACATACAATCCACGAATATTACTTTCATTAAATATTGATTCCACTTATCTCCAATGTGTTTACGATCAGATAGTTTGATAGTGTCGATGGTAATTCCCCAAATGATGACTTGCAAAAGTTGAGTAAATAAGCATCCTAGACTTTGAGCAAAACAATACATCAGTCCTGGCACCATAAAAATATCATCAACAAGGATTAACGTCCATTAACGGAATCACATTTGCAAGTCGTAGATATTTATATAAAATGTGATAATCACAGGAAAAGTCATAATTGATATTAGTGTAAAACACATACCTGATGTCATTCATAGAATATGACATTTTATGGTATACGAAAGTGTGATTGTTGTTCGTTGTTGATGAAATTCTATTTGATAATTCAATATAGTTGCTTTCGAGGGCGTTACAATGTTTATAGCGGTCATACCATTTTTATAGTACGATTTGTCTTTAGCCCCAAAATAGGCTTCAGTTACGACGATTTGAGAAAAGAAAAAAGTCAATGGGGGCCAGGTCTGAATAATACGGTGGATGCGAAAGCAATTCGAAGCCCAATTCATGCAATTTTGCCATCGTTTTTATTGATTCGTGACACGTTGCATTGCCTTGATTAAACAGCACATTATTTTTTTTTCAAATGGGTTTTTGTTTCGCGATTTCGCTAAAAAACAGCCCCATTCCAACCTAGAATAAAAAAATAAACTCCAGATTATGAGAGGTCGACAGATCTTGCTTTATATACCCCTGACAGTAAGTAGCTTCACTCACACAGAAAATGTTTCAAGTGATTAACAATCTTCCAAAACATTCCATGAGCATCGCTCCGGAATTATTGAATGACGTCACCGGTGAACCAGATTTGCTTAGAAGAGTCATAACTGGCAAAAAATCATTGGTATATAGACGAGAAATCATGGGTAATCATGCCTCAGCCACCGTATTCACCAGATTTAGTCCTTTGCGAATTTTTTCTGTTCCGAAGATTGAAGATACCCATGAAAGATCAGCAGAGACTACTGAAGGGGTCTTCTTTGAAGGAGAAAAATAAAAATTGATGAATAAATAAATATTTTTTATGAAAAACAAAAATTCACCTTATTTTTTCAAACAGACCTCGTATATGTAACATAATTGAATAAAACACTACTCTACAAACACCATAAAACGTCCTTTTTGGTTCCACAATGATGTGGGATGTTCCAGGATTTCCTCGAACGTTTCAAACTATTCCAGAATGTTGTAGAATGCTCTGAAATGTTCTGGACTGTTCTAGAATTTTCTAGAGGGTGAAACTTTCGGCCCTCAAAAGCACGTGCCTTGGGTGAAAATGGGAATCTTATTCATAACACCATGACGGAAAAAATGTGCTTCCCGTGCCAATATCGTCTAAAAATACAATCTGTGAAGTGACACGCGCTTAGTGCAAAAACAGTCCCAATTCGAGATAATCAGATGTGTTTACCGCTGTCGGCACGTGGAAGTTGTCAAATTATTATTTTCCACATACTGCGAAAATAACGAGGAAAACATTCGTCTTTCGTCTCAAACGGAGATAATTTGACCAAATAATAAATAATAGGTATATCCATTCGTGATTCATGAGTTATTGTATATTGACGTTCTCAGGAAACGTGTGGCCTTTCTTGACTCGCTGATGATTTTCCAGTGAAGAAATTCTAGAGAACACAGTTGTTGATTAATCTTTACGACTTCTGTAATCAACTGGTTATGGAAAAGTTCATGAATAATAATATTGTTTGTTTATTAATAGAATGACCGAGAGTGCAAAACCTTCATTTGCTACATATATTTAATTTGATTCTTCCTGCTAATAGAAACAAATAATTTTGCCAGTATCAAAATATCATTTTATTTCATTCCATTTAGTGAATCAACTTACTCTTTACCCATTACGCCCTACTGGAGTAATGTAGAACATTGAGTCTCTGATGCACTGTCGTGTATTTTTGACTCGACTTCCATTACCCAATCTCTCGTGAGATTTTCCTAAATCCATAGTTTCAACGTAAGTGCTTTGATCTGTGCACCATTGCATTATATTCATTAAAAAAAATTATTAGCTCAATCACTTGTATTTCAAGCTAGCGACACTTTACGGTTTTGCCAGGGGACAATTTAGAGTTGACATTTAGTTCAAGTCTACGGCTTTTAAAGCTATTGAAAGTGGAAGATGGATTATAATACTTTCCACAGACTTGTATAATAATAATAATGTTTATTCAACAACAAGAAAATAAAATGAGCTCAATTAATGATCGGTGAATACTCAGAATTATTCTTTGACAGTATAACTGTCTTATGTCGAGTATTTTGCTCAATGAAAAAAGTTCATCACAGGGAAAGGTGATTTTTTTATTGTGAATGATTCTCAAAACCCATATTTGTAAAACATTAACTTTTTCTAGGTGACAGTCAAGAATACCTCCCCAACCCAGGATACCATAAGATGAGTAAGACTGAATTAATGCAAAATAAACTGTGTTTAAGTGACGAATATCCAAAAAGTTCGCTAAATACCTGAGTCTACCAGTCAGACCTCTATTTTTTTTTGTCATAGAATTAGCATGAAGGTCCCACCGTGAATGTCTGCCCATAATAATGGCAAGATACTTAACGGACTCGGTTTCTGCTTTTTGAGTATTTTCATCAATTGTATTCTATGTATTCACGATTTTTGACACAAAGAAATCAAAGTTAGAGGAGTTTGTTCCAACTATCAACAACAGATCTCCAAATAATAAGTTCACATATATGCTTTGTGTTTTTTTTTAATATAACATATATAAAATCGAAAACAACGAAGAGTTACCGCTCTTGGATGTTTTGGACCAGGGTCTAGGATTTGATGTCTACAAAAAGAATACCACTGTACTTTTAGATATACTTATTCCTGATAGCTCACACCATTGTCCATAACATAAAATGACAGGCCCAAACTTTTTTTTCCCATAAGCTTGTTCCTCTTCAGTAAAAAATGGCTCCGATATTGGTAAAAATGTTGTCAAGGACACAGAAACCAACGAGTATCCTTCAATACAGTAGAGGTCGCTGAAGATAGTTAAGTTAAGAACGAGTCCATTCTAACAAACAACTAAAACACAGTGAGAAACACATCCAACATCTAATAAATTTTGTGATCATTTTGATTCATGAGTTGTTCACTACCTATTATTTTTGTTCTCCTGTCCTTACTAAAAATACTAAGAAACTCATTACATATGAAAGTCAATTATAATAAATGCAAGCTTTAATTGGGACAGTGACATCATAGCTGTAAACTGATAACATACTACCTCATTGCTAATACGTCAATGAATCACAGGAAATAGATAAGTAATAATAAATCAATTGAACGGGGAAGTATTCAGATCTTACGAAACTAATTGAGATATTGAAGGACCGGACAGGGAAACGAATAATCATGGGTTACTGCAAGAAATCTGTTATAATAATAATAACTTCATTCAGAGTAAAAGAGAAATTGTGA